ACTCAAAAAAAAAAAAAAAAAATTGTGAGCACTCCCCCACCTAGAGCTGGGCTCTTAGGTAAAATATCCACTATTCTTGACCTACCCAATCCAATAGCTCTATTAATTGCCTTCTAGAGAGAGATGGACCTAACCATCCCTTGGTAGCTTAAGACCCAAGGGGAGCTGGGCTTCAAGAAGGAATAAGATGGAATAAATAGAGGGTGGTACAGCATGGTTGGAGTGATGCTCAGTCTTTCCTCCTCACCGCTACCACCTCTGTAGGAAAAGTGGGCTCTGTGTGCCCCGCGAATGGATCTATCACCTGACTGAAGGGAGCACAGATCTCAAAACTGAAGGTTGGTTCTCCCCAGCCCTCACCCTCTTCAAATCCCCTGAACTTGTTTTTGCATCTCTGTTCTCACACTTCTCACTGGCACCGACAGGCCACCCTGACATGAAGACTGAGCTCTTCTCCAGCTCATGCCCAAGTGGAATCATGCTGAAAGAGACTGGCCACGGTTACCAGCGCTTTCTCCTCTACAGTGAGTGGTGATGCAAGGCAGGAAGGGTTGGGGAAAATAACAGAGGGCAGTTAAGCTCCTAATTCTGGGCCCTATGATATCATCCAGAGGGTAGGTGCTTCCAAGGGCCTTTTATGGGCCTGGCCCCATTATTCTTCCAGATCGCTCACCATACCCTCCCAAGAAGTGTGTGGAGGAATTCCGGTCCCTGACTTCCTGCTTGGACTACAAAGCCTTCTTACTAACTCCCAGGAGTCAAGGTGAGGGGTTAAACTCTTACAGACGAGGATTAGGATTCACTAAGTCCTCTAGGGGTGCTGAATGAAAGAGGCTCATGTGATGGTACCAGAGGGAATGGCCAAAGGCTGACATCATCAGATGTTGACACTTCATTTGTCATAGGGCACCAAAGGGAAGTGGCTAAGAGCTGTGATGTCGGCCGGGCGAGGTGGCTCACGCCTATAATCCCAGCACTTTGGGAGGCCGAGGTGAGAGGATTGCCTGAGCCCACGGGCTCGAGACCAGCCTGGGCAACTTGGCAAGACCTCATCTCTACAAGAAAATCAAAAAATTAGCCAGGCATGGTGGTGCATGCCTGTAGTTTCTGCTACTTGGAAGGCTGAGGCGGAAGGATCCAGGATGGGTTCTGAACTACTCAAGAGAGGTTTCTGAACTTGCAGTGGATAAAGGGGGCTGAGGGTCTATGGAGGAAAAAAGGTCTCAGTCTCCTTGTTTCTCTCCCTGTACTTCCTTTCTGTCCTCTGCTTTATTCCCTTCTCCCATCACAGAGGCCTGTGAGCTGTCCAGTAACTGACCTGTAACTTCATATACACCACCCAGATGGGTACAGTGGGAGCTCAGTTTTTGGTAGGAGAGAAACTGGAGGACCCCCCCCCCACTCCTTTTCAAGAATAATAAAGATGATTTTTCAATCCCCATTTCATTGTGGAGTTTGTCTCCAGGCGTCAATCTCACACCCCCCTTCCCATTTTAACACTCCCTCTGGGCCCTCTACCGCCTAAATCCCCAGCTGAACAGCGTCAGGAAGCACATTGAATAGCAGTAACTCTCGCTTTACAGTGGTATATTTCAGATTTGGTGTGACAGTTATTTATTGCTGAGTGAGCAAACCCCTAACCCCCAAGTGGAAACCACAGGCTCTGGTGCTTCCCCCACACTGCCTGTCTGAGCTGCTAGCCCTTCTGAACCAGCCCTCCTGCCAATACTGCCTGTACCATCCCCACTCCTGGCTCCTATGGGCACCAGATCCTCCCTGCAGGCTCCCTGTCACCTGTGGGCCCCCATCCAGGCCCTCTAATCCACTTGCTTAGCAGCCCCACTCTTCCTAACTGGCTTAGTTCCCAAGAACCAAGAGACCCCTTGGGTCTCCTAACCACCCTCTTGCACAGAGGTCTATCCTGCCTCTGGTCTCCTCCACCCCTGGGGAGTTTTGAAAGGCAGAGAGGACCATTTGGTCTTTATTCTCCACCACCACACCTTTTTTTTTTTTTTTTTTTGATTTTAAAAAGTGGAAGTTGGAAAAAAAAACTGGAGGGGGAGGAAATGTAAAAGCAAAAAGTAATAACAGCTGGTGACTCCAAGGGCGATGTCCCATCATCCATAAATATAGACACCCTAAATAGCTCTGTTCTCTCCTGTGTATAAAGGGGAAGCCCTGCGCCCTCATATTTTGGGGTTTCTTCCCCATCCCTGAGGTCCCTATGCTTACAATTGGCCATGCCCCCTACTGTCCTCCTAAAGGCCATACTGTCTTCACCCTTTGCCCCCACCCCACCCCATGGTCACAGCTCCTTTCCTGTGTCTCCCCTCTGATCCTCAGCCTCCCTCTCCAACCCCTCGCTCTCCCAGTCAGGGGCTTCCTCATCCCCACTGGGCTCCCGGAGGCTGACAGCCAGCACCAGGGCCTGTAGGATGCCAAAGAGGCAGGCAAAGTGCAGGGGGTGGGCGGTAAGTAGGCTCAGCACTGCATGGAGCCCATGCAGGGCAGCCAGGAAAGACAGGAGCCCATGTAGCCAGAGGCCCAGTGGTCCACGCAGGCCCAACGCATCCAAGGCTGCACGCAGTGGCCGTGAGCACAGTGCCAGGAGGGCCGAGGCCAACAGCTCCAGCAAGTGTAGGGTTAGATTGGTAGAGATCTGCAGACACTCCTCTGGGCCCCCCAAGTACCGTGGGGGAGCTCCTGATTCTCCCCGCAGCCAACCCAGCAGCTTCTGACGCCGACCAGGTTTCTCCACTGGTGCTTCAGGCCCAGGGGCACTCAATCCCTCTTCAGAGGACACCCCGGGTCTCCTGGTGCCACCTGAATCCACATGATCATATCCAAGTTTAGGAATGGCTCCTCCAGCCTCCAGTCTCCCAGACTCCTGAGTGTTAGACACAGCCTTGTCCCACTTCAGGGAATCCATCCTTTTGCCCCCCAGTTGTTCAACTTGGGGCTTCCTGCTTGGTTCTGAAGCAGCTCCAGAGCCCCTCAGTGCCCCTGAGTCCTTGGTCTTGGGAGACCCCACATCTCCCATGGTTTCTGGGGCACTATCCCAGTCACTCCCTGAATTCTCGGGGGAGCTGTCGACCCATCTGGGTTCTGGGGCAGGTGGATCAGGCTTCATTGGTTTCCGACGGCCCCAGGGGCGAGGTAGCCAGCCACCAAGCCGTCGCAGGAACATGGCTGGGTGTGTATTGAGCTCCCAAATTCTGGGGCTACTTCCTGGCACCGCTTAGACTGTCAGGATCTTCTCAGAAGCCAGAGTCCTTTCAGGCTCAGAACAGGTATCTGCTTGGTGACGCCGTCCTACTCTGAACTCAGAAGTGGCTCCCCGCTTCCCTGAATGGTCATGCAGCCTCAAGGGTGGCAAGTAGCTTGTTTCCTTTTCAGTTTGGGAGTAAAGAAGGGAAGCACACCCAAATTCATTCACCACCGCCACCTTCCCACAAGATTTCAAAAGTCTCAGAATCTGGCAGGGCTGGGGTCACCCTCACAGTGTCCTGTCTGTGTTTCCGGATTTCCTTCCCAGCAGGCAGCACCCCAAGTTTCACTCACCAAGGCCACGCCCCAAGGTGCCCCAGAAACTGGGGAGGCGATGCTCCATCCAAGAAGGAAGGCAGAAAGGTGGCCCGGGTCCTAGGTATTCCTGGATCTGGATCTTAGGAGTCTTAAACTGCTGCCCTAAAGGAGCTCAAGGAATAGGAATTCTCTTTGTTGGGAGGTGGAACAGAGGTGTCCAGCAAACTCCAGCCAAGAACGTTCGTCCCTTGATTTAAGAAGCTATGATTTCTACAAAGTGGCCCTACCGGCCCGCGAGCACGCAGCAGAGACGCGGCCTCCGCAAGGTCAGAACTGAGAGGTCCTCGGAGATTTCAGCCGCGAGGCAAAGCGCGGGCCTACCTGGGGACCCACCCGTCCGGCGATATGCGCAGGGGCCCCTCCCGGGCCCAGCGTTGGGGCCGCGGCCTGGCGGAGCCGCCGGGAGCCGCGGAGCCCGGAAGCAGCTGCACCGGGACTGGAGGGACTGTCGGGGGCGGAGCCGCAGCTCGCGGGGCGGACCTTGCGGATTGCCCGCCCCCCTACCCCCACTCTGTCGGGGAGCGCACGACCGCGGGGCGCCAGCCGAGATCAGCGAGGGCCAGACCCTGAATATAAGCCCAGCTCTACGTTGTCCTCGCCCAGAGGTCCTCCGAGCCTCTAGTGCCCCTCTAAACTAGACCACCTCTGCTCTTGGGTTCTTCTCCATAACCCCCATCACGCTCCCATTTTGCATCCAAGACTTCATGAAAGGCTTGAAGGAAAAGAGGGGAGTCTTGGGATTCGAGCAGCCCTTCCCTGCATATTTCACTTCCTGGATTTAGCAACAGTGAGTTCTTCAGGTGGCAAGCCCTGGTATGAGTCAGAAGTGGGAGCGGGGTATGGGGGGGTGGGAAAGTTTGTGAAAGAGAAGTGTAGACAACTAGATGAAATGAAGAACCTTGACTTCAGATTTGGTAGGCCAGAGTTTCAGTCCCAGCTCCACTGTGTATAGGCTGAATAATCTTAGGCCATCCTACCACACTGATCTCTTCCGGCAAGACCCTACCCATTCCCATCATCTCTGGGGGCCTTCCCCTATCACTCTGCATTATAATACCTGATCACATGGCTGTGTCCCCTTCCAGCTGCATGCTCCTTGAGGGTTGGGAATCCTTTTTTAAAATTTAATTTTATTTTTATTTTAGAGTCATAGAGTCTCACTCTGTCATCCAGGCTGGAGTGCAGGCAGTCTCAACCTGCTGGGCTCAGGTGATCTTTCCGCCTCAGCCTTCCAAGTAGCTGGAACTTCAGGTACATGTCACCATGCTTGGCTACTTTTCTTATGGTAGAGATGAGGTCTCGCCAAGTTGCCCAGGTTGATCTTGAACCCGTGGGCTCAGGCAATCCTCTCACTTCGGCCTCCCAGAGTACTGGAATTATAAGTGTGAGTCACAGGAATTCTTTTATTCTTATTCTTGGCACATAGTATATGAACTTATGTTTGTTAAATCAGTAACTTGAGTTGGCTGGAGAAGTCAGGGGACTCTAACTGGGGAAGGTGAGGCTTGCATGGAGCTCACAGGGGTTGAAAGAGTTTAAGTGGCACACTCCTACCAGAGGCTAGGACCTGAAAGTGAAGCCAGACTGGCAGAGTGGTGCACCTATCATGCCACCTGGAGAGGCTGCCCCTTCTGGCTCCAGTGACACTTGCATGTGGTACCCAGACTTCTGTTTGGCTTTCTCAAAACAGCTTCCAAAAAAGTGAACCACAAAAGAGAAAGAAGTTTATTTCAGCTCCTCTCCACCAAAGACATAAGCCCCCTGATCAAAACCTGAGAGTCCACACCTGGGCAGCGCCCAGGAAGTAGAAGTCATAGTGCCCAGGTCAGAGGTCCAAGTTCAGATTTCAGCAGCATACCAGTCAGACTTCATCAAAGTCAGAAGTCAAGGTTCATGTACATCCTCAGATTTTGCTCCCAGGCTCTGTCCTTCTCCTCCCGCCTTCTCTCCTTCCTCCGGCTCAGTGTGGCCACCCGAGGTGCTCTGTCCTTCCCAGCCACAGCCCGAGTATCTCGAGCTAGGAAATGTGTGACTCGGGGCTGGGGTGCTGATCTGTAGCCTAATCCTTCCTGGTCTCTCTTGAGGACAGTGGGGATGGGGTTAGCACGGCCCTCGCCCCGGGGTCCCAGCCCCATTCCTGGCTCCCAGCCCCCTTTCAGCAGCAGCTTGAAGCCTGGGCTAGAGGTGGGTACCCCAAGGGGAATGCTGGGGGGCAAGGGACCCTGGGACAGTGACAGCAGATGAGCAGTGGATGTGCAGTGGTTGGAATCTTGGAAGTGGGTGTCACAGGTTTCACAGTACTGGAAGGAGGGAGTGGGAGACCTGCGAAGAAAGAAGAAAAAGGGTTAAGGGCAAAGGAAGGGAAAGGGGAAGAATAGAGGCCTCAGAGGGGGCTGGCAAAGTGGGACAGAATCCTTCCAGCTTTTCTTTTCTTGGGGGGGTTAGGAGTCTTACTCTGTCACCCAGCCTGGAGTGGCACGCTCACAGCCATCGCAGCCGCAACTTACTGGGCTCAGGTGATCCTTCCACCTCAGCCTTCCAAGTAGCTGGAACCACAGTGTGCCACCACAGCCGGCTATTGTTTTATTTTTAGGAGAGACGAGGTCTTGCCAAGTTGCTCTGGGTTCAGGCAGTCCTCTCACCTCCACCTTTCAAAGTGCTGGGATTACAGGCGTGAGCCACTGCACCCGGCCCGGCTTTTCTTCTAAGGAACAAATTGCCTTCCTCTCCTCTTAACACGAGGGACACAGAGGGGAACAGTTGAGAGAATAGATGGTAACCAGGCCTTACAAGCTCTTGGGCAAGGAAGAAATACTAGTAATAATGACTACAGCTAACACTCATATAGTGCATACTATGTGGCAAGCACTGTTCTAGCATTTTACATATATTAACCCATTGAATCCTAACAACAACCCTACGAGAAAAGTGCTCTTAGTAGCCTCAGTTTTAACATGTGAAAACTAGGACATGTAGACATTAAATTGCTTGCCCAAGTAAGAAGCATCAGAATTTAAACCCAGGGAGCTCATGTTCATAACCACTTGACTACACTGCCTTACCAACCTACACTGGAGGATGAGGAGAGAACCCTTTAGTTTGTTCTGGGGCCTCTGGTGTGGAGTAGATAGGAAGGGCTGAACATACTGAAAGATGAGTATGAGCTAAGGTTTCTCCTCACCGGTTCTCTGGGCTCCTCGTCTCTCCATGGCTCTCCCTGACCATGCGGGCCACCTCAGGGAAGCCAGCTTCTTCGGCAAGCTGAGCAGCATCTCTGCCACCCAGTTCACAGACCCCCACCCAGGCAGCCCCACGGCCCAGGAGATAGCTCACAGCTGCCTCCTGGCCTGCTCGGGCGGCACACATCAGGGGGGTCCACCAAAAGGCATCCCGAGCATTGATATTTCCCCCAGCCCCTCCTGCTTCATGGGGCTCCAATAGCCTTCGAAGTTCTGCCAGGTTCCCCTCCTGGGCTGCCCTCAGTATCCACTGGGTGATCTTGTCCTCAGTCTCAGGGAATCTCCCTTGTCCATGTCTTCCTGATGCTCCTGTTGCCACTGCTCCTGCTGCAGCCTCCCTCATCATTCTTCTTTTCGTTCTCTTTCTTTCCCTGGCAGGTTCAGGATGAGATCTCTGGTGTTCGGGGGCACTGCTCTCATCCCCAATAAGGGCCTCATAGAAAGCTCGGATTGCAGGTCCATCCAGGGTGGGCTCTGGTTCCTCAGGCTGTGACTGCCGTTCCCCATCTTTCCAGAGGTCGCTGGGGTCCGCGGCTGGGGTGAAGGTGATGAGGGAGGGTCTGGACATGACTTTTGGGAGAACTGAGATAAGACTAGGGAAGAAGAAAATGAGACAAACAAGCCAAGCCCTTGGTGGCCCCTGCAGTGACCAGAGCCACCTCGAGGACCTGCTGAGATGAAAAAAAGGAGAGTCAAAAACATCATTTCGCCCCTAAAGTGACCCTGCAGGGCCTAAGGTCATGTGTAAAAACACGAAACCTTACACTAACCGACCTTGCCCTATAGTAAGGGTTACTAAAGAAACCAACATGAGACAGTAGTCCAGGGGGCCTGCGTTCTGCCTCCACCCCATCAACTATAAATACCAGCCTCTCTCTGAAACGACTCTCCCATCCCATAAGACATACCATTAAGAAAAATCAGCCTTTAAATCTTCCTCGATCCCATTTCAGGGTTTTTCTCTTCTCAGCAGACGTGACACTTCTCTGGAAGATTTCGGGGACAGGCTCTCGTTTGCGTTGTCTTGTAGCTTCCGTACCGCAAAATGGCGCTATTCTAATCAAAAGGGTTGACACAAATAGTCGCACGGCACGAGGACGCATGCGTAGGAACAATAGCAACAACAACAAAACCCGACAGCCTACGCCACTTGAGCCGCAGGCGCGCGCACAGCGCCGGGTTCGGTTTTCCCCCCAGGAACCTTTCTGATCGTGTACGCGCAGAGCACCGCGTGCCAGACAGCGCGAGCAACCGGGAGGATCTGTCGGTTGGGGTCCTGCTTTTACATAACGCCCCCACAATGCCCCTCGCCTGCCTCAGCGTGGCCACTGCTCCAAGCTCATTTTCTGGAGCTGGGGAACCACTTTCTGGGTTAAGAAAGGCCCTGAGGAGGCGGAGGGAAACCTGGGGAACGCCGAGAAGCTGTGAAATACAATAACGTCACGCGGCCCCTCACCAGTACTGTAACCAGGGTTCGAAGGTCACACTTAAAGCCTAAGAGGAAATGGAGAAGTGCAAGGGGACGAGCAGCAGAATGGCTGGTGCCACCTCAGGTTAGCGCACTGGGACGTTCCGGTTCTCACCCCGCGCAACTCAGCCCAGCACACCCAACGAAGTCCCCCGCACGGATCCCAGCCGCACCTCCTCCCTCAGGAGGCTGGAGCCCGGGGTGAAACACGAGCCGGATCGGGGATCTCCTGCGGCGGGACGGATTCGGACTACAGTCCCGACGGGCGAAAAGGACCCAGCGAACTGGCCGGGAATGGGACCAGCCGGTGGGCAGCAGGGTTTCCCTAGAACTAAAAGAACGATGTGAGGAGATAGGCTTAGCTCTCTCCTTTCCCCGCCCTTTCTCGGCCCCACACTCCAGTGAGCACACGCCTTTATTTCCCAAGCTCCAAGGCCCCAAACCCCGTAATTGGCTTCCGCTTCCGCTGGCGCCCGCTGCGCCCCGCCCCCAAGCGTCTTCTTCCGGGGCCTCGCGACACCAGGATCGTGCGCGGGTGATCCTGGGATTCGTAGTTATCTTTTCCCGGCTTTCATCAGTTTCTCTCCCTATCGGGGACTTCATGTCCCAGCGTCCACCGCGCCACCCGACCCTTGGCGCTTGCGTGTTGCCCTCTTCCCCCACCCTCTTCAGTTTCCACTCCCCCCGCCCCACTTCGCCTGCCGCGGTTGGGTCCGCGGCCTGCGCTGAAGCGGTAGCCGCCGTTTCCTGGAAGTAGCGACTCCCCTCCCCTACCCCAGTCCTGATCCCCGTCCAGCCGGTGAGTCTAGGTAGTCGTCTCGCCGAAGCCCTTGTCGTTGGGCGCGGCACATGGGGTCTCCTCGTTCTGATATGGGGGCGGGGGAGAAAGCGACTCTGTCCGGCACCGACAGAGGGAGAGGTGGCCCTGAGTGGCAGAGGCGGGATGTGGGGACTTACGTGAAAGAGACCTGACGACCACCTCCAGGCCGTGAGAAAAGAAGACGCCCAGCTCTTGCTTGAGAATGATAAACTTTGACGTGCTTGGGAAAGGAGTTGGGAACTTGTAGACACCTGCAGTGGTACGAAGCCTGAGCCGAGGGCTCCGCTGCTTGTTCACACGGAGCGTAGAGGGCTTGGCCTTCGCGAGCTCCAGGGATGAGGGTAGGACTGGTAGCGTGAACACCAGGAAGACTTCTCACAAGTGTTGGGACACCAAATAATTTTTGACTTCAGAAAAAAGCTGAGGTGTAAGTAAGAGGAGCTGGGAAGGGATGCTTTGGTGTCTGGGTCTTTTAAGAAAGGGTGGCCCCAAATTTCTCCATGATTGGAGGGCTGAGTGAGGGAGGAGGTAGGATACCAGAGGCAGGGAGGGAGCTTTACTTATACTCTTCTTTTTCCAGCTGACGTGAAGATGAGCAGCTCAGAGGAGGTGTCCTGGATTTCCTGGTTCTGTGGGCTCCGTGGCAATGAATTCTTCTGTGAAGTGAGTTTTCAACTTCCTTACTTGCCAACTCCACAAATTCTCCAGCCAGACACTCCCTGCATATTCAGCTTCTACACATTTCTCTTACATGCTACTTGAAAACTCCTTCCTGTCAAGGAAGGGTCCCCTCAGTAACCCTCTACTAACCTGTGGTGAAGTGGCGAGACCAGGACCCAAGTCCCAACCCTGTTGGTTATTGAACTAACCAATCTGTGTCTTTTCTTTATTACTAGAGGTACTGGTAGTAACTGTTTCAAGTGGCTGTTAAGGAAATTGAGATATCACATATTACATATTAAGATGTTTTGTAACATGCAAAGCTGTGTGTTAACGTAAGGGATTCTAACTGCATTCAGAAACAAAGATGGTCAACTCCCACCTTCCTCAGAAAGCCAACTGTTCCCACAGAGAGGACAAAACTGGTTCCTGGCCGGGTTCGGTGGCTCAGTCTGTAATCCCAGCACCTTGGGAGGCTGAGGCGAGAGGATTGCCTGAGCCCGTGGGTTCGAGACCCATCCAGACAACTTGGCAAGACCTCGTCTCTACAAGGTGTGGTAGCGCACGCCTGTAGTTCCAACTACTTGGAAGGCTGAGGTGGAAGGATAGCCGGGGCCCAGCAGGTTGAGGCTGCGGTGGCCAGGAGCGGCTACTACCCTCCAGTCTGGGTGACAGAGTGAGACTCCAACTCAAAAAAAAAACTGGTTCCTACGTGTGGAGGGCATGAGTATAGATAGGGATCTTGAAAAGAACATCTTTCTGAAGAAGAGATTGCCATACCTGATTATCCTTAAAAAGAAAAGTCAGATCGGGCTCTGTGGTTCAGCCCGTAATCCCAGCACTTTGGGAAGCCGAGGTGAGTGGATTGCCTGAGCCCGCAGGTTCAAGA